TTGCACAGGAACAAACATTACCTTCTCCTCTCAAGGACATGTAATTAGCAGACAACAGCTGAGTCCATTTCAAATGGTAATTTCTTTTTTTAAATGCTTCATATTCAATATTCTCTATACTGGAGCACACAGTAATGGACTTCTTTAAGATGCTTTTCTAGTCTATTTCTTTCATTATTTTTTGTGCTTTTGTAGGTCTTCATAATAGAAGGCCACCCCCTTTGCTTTTAATTACAAAATAGCACGATGACATTTGCAGAAAATTCCAAACAAAAGGAAAGTTACAGACAGCTCCTGGAGAATAGGTCATGTTTCATTTTTTAAAAATAAATGTATGGGCTGTTTTTTACATTTTATTTTATAAAACAGGGTTTTGAGCAAACATTTGAAGTTGTCATTAAACAAAATACAGAAAAAGAATGTGAAGCTTAGATGGAATAAGGATTGACTGGCTCAGTGCAAGCAGGGCCTGGCAGAATCAGGGGAACAGTTTGCCATCCTCAGAATGAAACCTGAACTACTTCTGTCCCAGAATTTTTAGTATGTGTGACAGTTCTTCTGTCACAGAATTTTCACTTCTGTGTTCTCAGGTTTACTCAGTCACGTTGAATTGAATGGGTATTTGCATTTAAAAAATGGGTATAAAATTGAAAACTGAATCATTTATTGTGATTTTGAAAATAAACTAGGCAACTCTCACACAAATGCAATCATGCAAGTCATACTGCATCTTCTCCCATATTTAAAGTATTTGTTTTTCTTTTCTGTTAATTTCCTGAGACCAACCCTTGGGTGAAGGACATTAAAGCCAGTGTGCAAGTGTCCTTTGACTACTGCACCAAGCCAGATGTGTCTTCTTTCACCAGGAAAACAGCATTCCCTCTAGCAGTCTTCTGAGCCCTGGAGGCCGGAGATCAGCCTAAGAAATTTCCACTGAGTGGAAACGAGCAAGTGCACAGCTCACGAGCCTTGCCAAGGGAATCCAAGCCAAATTCCCTTTGCCATTTTCCATAAGAGTGCAGGTGCCAGTTTTCCTCTCCCTCAGCTCACCAAGCACACATCAATGGCTTTTGGCCAAGACCCAGGACTGGGGGGTAGCCAAAGGGTGTCTTTGTGTCACATTTTTAAACCATCTTTCTATTAAGCAGCCCCAAGATGTCCATCATGAGAGGCCATCAGGAAGGCTGAATGAATGAGGACTGGGGGCCATACAGGTGTTTTTTCCACCCAAAGTCTGGTAATGTGAGCTGTACAGAATGTTTCATATAGAACCATTCATATAGAACATGGAGGCTTCTCAATGGCGAAGGAGCGCTGGAAGGGACTGTGGACCCTGTACAGGGACTAAGGAGGAAAACCCTGTTCCTTTGAGCTCCTGCGGAGGGCTGAACAACTGCAGTTTCAGAGAAGGGACAGAGGAAAGGCATGCACAACAACAAGAGTTAGGGCTTGGAGGGACTCTTTCATTGTGCAAATCCAGCCCCAGCATCCTCTTGCTTGGATTAATAAAGGACAATCACCCTTTTAAGAACGTTTGTAATATGGTAGAGTTTGCATGACTTGTTAGAGTGTGTAATCACTGTAAGATGTTTATTGTGAAATAAAGTTTATTTTGTTCGAAAAAACACTCATAGAGAACACGGTCGCACCTATGGCGACTTCCCCCAAACCACTGTGTTGGATTAATGCTCTACACTTGTTTCTTAGAATCTTTGCATTCCTACCAATGGGAAGAAGGCAAGATATGCATGAAAATTCCTTGTTTTGTGTACTATATATCCATGAATGAGCTATTTACCCAGGGCTTTATAGGGTGACTGTAGCGCAAACCAGCTCATCCATTTGGTTTTGATGATCACAAGATGGAAACAAACTGATTGAACAGCACTCTAGGCCCAAGACTAACTACTCACAAGCACCTGGCATGGTTAGTTTGGCCCTGATCCACTGCTGTATGTTTCCATTTCAGCTGGCATGTTTCAGTCAGACTGTATGACTACTGGCCGCTTTCATCGCGGTAATCCAGCACTGCTCAATGGGATTAGGAAAGGGGACTGTCTGGGCCAAGTGGAAATGGAAAACCCCTCAGACAGCCTCTTTCAGCATGTCTTACCTTGTATATTTGGAGTTTTTAGTTTTACTCAAGACCCATGTGATGAAAACGATTAGTCACCTATACTTGTCTTAGAAATACATCAGATTCCAAGAGTTCTGGCCAAAACTTAAACTCCATCCCTGTGTGCAGGAAAAACAAGTTTTTCATTTCATTTTTAATTGTTTACAATTTTTTCCATACATTTGCATTTTAATAATTACATTTTTTGAATTATTGATTATTTTGAGGGGTGCCTAACACCCCTTAGTGAAAATCAGTCTTAAACTGTACGATCTTGCAGCTGTTCTTTGTGATGCCCCGGAAGTGTGATTTAACATATGTCCTCCATTAATTGAAACATCAAGACGCACAGCAAACAAGATCAACCTCCCCCAATCAAATGAATGCCTGAACTGTTTCCTGGTTACCCACTCCAGATGAGAGGCAGGCTCACAAACTAGAGCCGACACTGCCACAGCACAGACTCTGTCAAGCTTGAAAGACTATCTGGCAAAACCCAACTATCACTTAATGAAAATTAATTCTCTTAGCGCAACATGCAGCAGAACTTCAAGGAACAAGCCAGACCAGTCTCACTCGCTGTCTCAATTAAATGGGTTGAAGGATGACTATTTTCTCTTGCAATTAAGGTTACAATTGGCTCTGCTTGAATGCTCTTTTAAGTGTTCCCTGTAAGGTCTTTCCAAAGTGTCTGTTAAACAATCCACAAATGACAGTGATTCCACAAAACACATTGACTCAGGTAACCTACTCCCCCCCAAGGGGTTTGAAATCAATAGCTTCCTGTTAAAGATTCGCCTGACTACCTCACCCTGTCCTCTCCCACTCTTCAGTGTAAGTTTTTTTTTAAAGCACTATTAAAGTACCTCACCTCTGTCAAGAAGAAATGTCTTGGAAACAATGACAGTGAAACCAAACTAAGTTTCAGGGCCTTAGGGGTGTTGGGATAATACTTAATCTATGTGGGATGGTTTCAACCTATACAGAAAACATTAAAAACAAACTCTGCTCTTTTAAAAAGCAAAGAATATGAAGACACAAGGCACAAACAGATCTTGCAAACATAAATAAGACTGTGTGACAGCAGTTTAAAAGCACATGCTTCCCCATAAAGGAAAGATAATTCCATATTTACAGTTCCATCACATGGAAATTTAGAAAACTCTGAACCACACACTTTTTTTCCACCATCTAAACACCTTTCTAACAGGATGCATTAACAAATCTAAAAATGTATATACAAAGAAGTAAAAAAATATATTATTCATACATAAAAGGTCAATGAACTTCTGAAACATTTGAAGAAACACTGTTTCGGTATTTCAACATTGATTCATTTGAATTTTTTTAAGCTGTAAAGACCTCTTTGACTTTATACACTGTTAAAGAACAGATTGGCAAGGCGAGGTGGTAGCACAGTAAAGCTGTACTGAAACCAGTGTGCTTTTCATAAATTGAAGAAACAAGAAAACAACATTCCTTCTGATTAAAAAAAACCATCAAAGATCATAAATATTGGAAAGCACTTCAAAACAACACAATGCTAAAACTCCAATGTGACATCAGGACATGCAGTATATATATTTTTACTTTTTCTCTCCAGTTTTGAAAAACATAACGGAACAGCTGCATCAGTACTTCTATAGAGATTAATATATCATTTAAACTTTAAAAACATATGCCATTATGAAAATGTACCTGCTGGGATCTCGATGTAAGCAACAGTCGGGTTATTTTAACCAATGTGACTGGCAACAAGTGGTGCACATTCCTCAGATTACATCTCCATTCTATTTAAATGTGTAAAGCACATTTATCTAAAGGTGTAGATGTTAGAATTTTACATAAAAAAGCAGGTACAGTATATTCCAGAGTAACAAAACAGATTTTACTAGTGCAACTATCACTTTTATCCATCCACCTATGTGAATATAGCCAGAAATAGAAAGGTTCCCCCGAAACAAACACAAACATAAAGGTTTGGCCTGTTAAAGATGAACAGATATGCCTGGGATTTTCATTGTCAGATGGTCAGAAAGCCCCCTGTCTCCTTGTAAGGGCTGCTGTATCCCACAGCCCACCCCAGATGCACAGAGCACGATCTGGGATGACGTGCCCAGGGACACATTCGAGACACCGGTCAATCAAGCTAGCACGTCCCTGGAAGGTAGGAGGACACCAGAGCACCTGGAGAAAGCCCACAAGGACACACAGAGAAACTCCTGACAGGATGCGCCCCAGTCCCGATCGAACCCAGGATCCAAAAGGTCTGAGGAAGACTCATTTATTTATTATACTTTACGTTCTTTGTATTAATAGCAGCTTTCTCTTTCAATAGATATTCAGAAAATACATTAAGACTTTTATTTATCAAACCTTTTAGGATGCTATCTATCCTGTGAATTACACTTTTTATAATATTTATTTTACTGATGACTGGTACTTGAACTATTACCTGTGCATTTTTACATGAACCAAGCGTTTTCTTGGGCAGATATAGAGACATATTTTAAAAATGTGAGAAATCAAACTTAAGTAGCGTGTAGGTGCCAAGAAATGACCTTTAAAAGGAGAACCTTGATTTGAGAAACTGGAAACCGTTAATCAACTTGAAATTAAACCCTTTTAACAAGAGAGTTTTATATTAGCCATGATTTTAATCTGGCATTAATGACTTATGTCTTATCATAGGCACAGACATGTTTTTTTTTAAGTTTGTGATAGGATTTTTCTTTTTTGTAGCAAAAAAAACCATACATTTACTATTCTAAATCATGTTCTATAAACGAAAAACTTTTTTTTCTCCCAAGCACGTCGCATAGTTTAGAAGAATCCAGGGGATGTTACTAATGTATATTTCAAGCTGTTATCACAAAAGACTTACCTGGCTAGGATGTGAAGGTGAGAAGGCACATTCCCCCACAAGTGGCACAGCAAAAGAGGAGGCAAGCTGGCGGAGCTGATACAGCCCCTTCACGACCCCGCGTCCTCGTCTTTCAGCCGGTCTGCGATGCTCCATAGGCGGCACTAGGGGGCAGTCTACACTTTTAAGGAACAGTAAAGTAGCTCACTAGTCTCCGTCCTTTTTTATCAGCTCCCGGGAGAGAGATTGTGAAGCACAGCAGCTCCGTGGACATGTGATCAGAGAGCCCTGTTGGGGGAAAAACAACAACAATTAACAGCTGTGGTAATTAAGAAAATTATGATGGGATGGGAGGTGATTAAAAAATAATCTGTTAAACTAGTCTACATTGTTTTTCCCCCAAGACACTGGTGCCTGTCAGCTAAGCATTGGAAATACAGGCAAATGTTTATCACACAACCATGCTGTGGAAATGATTCTATAAGGGATAAATAACCAGCAAAAAGTTTCAATATGCTTTTGCAATGCATGCAGATAAGAAAGTAAGCTACGAAAACACAACTAACTGTTCAACTCTGATGCAACAGACCAGCTCATCAAGTGTTAAACTTATTTAACAATTGTAATTATTTTGATAAGGCCCTTAGGAGAAATAAAATAGTACTGTAGGTACAGTAGCATGCAAAATCAATTACAATATGTTTTAAACTTATAGAGCCAGCAAACATTTTCTTATCATACACCTAGCTGATTTGGAACCACCCATTGTTTAAGACTCAGATTTCCTTGACCCCTTCACCACCAAGATCTGTAAATGTGCTCCTCCTAACAGAGCATACCCACCTATCAGGGCATTCATGTCTGAGAAAGTGCAAGCTCCACGGTGCCCCGGCTGGAGCAGCACAGCGTCTCTCACCGGGTCACTGCCAGGTTGCAGGTGTCAAGCAGACGCCCTGCAGCTGCTGTTTTTCCAGATCCAAGAGGACCCTGGGCATCTAATGCCCATTCTACTGTAGTGGCTCTATGCCAATTACATACCAGCACTTGGAGAAACAACCAGCAGAGGCGTCTGGCCAACGGTGCAACAGAGCTTAGCTCGCACACTGAGCAAGTGCCTTTGCTACCTCAAGCACATGGTAGCTCACAAAACCTTGTTTGCTCAAACTAAAAAGAATACTCAATAAGCCAGTTATGGTAGTGATGCAGTCAGGTCTCATTTTCAATCAGTTGTATCCCATTTTACTTTTATTTTATAGATACTGAAAACTCCTGAGGTACACCTGCATTTGTCCTTGTTGAATCCACCTTTTTTCACACCTCATGAAGTATGAAGAAAGAGTTTTGGCTGCTACAATACATGGCATACCAGTACAGTGAATGATCTCCAGCAAAATCAGCTTATTTCTTTCAGAGACTGAGGCACTTTGATTTACAGATGGACTATGATTAAGTTTCTTAAGAACACCAGCATGATGAATGGATTCTTTTATGTGGATCTGACTGGCTTGAACTGGAAACCAATTCTCTTTTGTCACCAGGCCATACTGTCACCAGGTGTTTAAAAACAGTGTGTGGGGTCAGTACCCTTTTCCTTATAAACCTATTCTTTTTCAAATAAAGTTATTTCTAGCCTTGTCAGATTTATTCTTAACAATAATCTAATTTTTGCAAAGCTTTCTGAACTATTTATTCAAACCGAGTGTGGTTTAATAGCTGCCAGCTTACTATAAAAAAGGGTCTAAAAGGCATGTATTACGCAAGACCGTTTGCATTCAAAAATTAGTGTTTCATGACCTAAGTGAGGTCTGAATTAAATCCAAACCTTGACCCTCACTCCCACTGAATCTCACAGTCCTGGTATTTCATGATAGGTTTCTGCTTGCCTGAGCCTACTGTGGTCCACTCAATTTAAACCTGTTATCAAACAGTGAGATTTTGTGAACCAAGCTAAGTGTGGTTGCTAATCGGGGTTTGTGAAACCTCTTAGTACAGCAGTTATAATATAGAACTAATCAACAATTTGTTAATAATGCCATTTTCTCATCTGGTACGTAGTCATTAACATATTAGCTGGCATACCACAAGTGATACTAATAAGCTGTCAAATACTAGCTGTGCTCTAACAACTCAAGAGAGATGAATTGCATCTATTTCCTGCCATCATGTCTATTAATACAAGATAGCAATATATTAAACAAGGGTCTGGAGTTTTGGAGAATTCATGGTAAGAGATGGCTTTGCATTACTTCTTCAAGAAAACCAGAAGCAATAATTAACAGTACGTGTGCCAAGAACAGGCAATGGAAAGGTAGGATCCCAAGAAACCCTTCATTCTTGACTTCCAGACAACATTTGATTTGGAGTGTGAAGGCTCCTTTTTATGTTCAAAGTGTGGTTCTGAATTCAGTACTGGAAAAACTTTAAAAAATGCAATGTTTAATATCATCCTCGGATGACAACCCAGGGAAGGGGAGAGCAATCCACAGTCCAATGTGAAAAATTCTGAAAACTGAAAGCAACATGTGAGGAGCTAATATCTGATTTGTCAGAACAGTGAGAACGAAAAGAGCAGTTTCTCTCGGTTTCCAGCAGATCTGAGAGCTAGCAAATTTGTCACATTTCCTTTTCTTGAACAAAGGAAACTAAATGTGCTGCCTGTTATACAATGGAGAAACTAATGTGCTGCAGATTAAGTTGGTGCTAGTTGGAACAAGGTTTCAGAGGTAACATGGTTTTTCTTTTTTTCCGACTCCTGACAAATATCTGACAGTAGCTTTGCATTGCAAACCTGTTTAATGAATGCCTAATCCTGCAAGAGCTCATTATGGCAAACTGTCACACGCCGCATTGTGGTGATATTAAGTTGATTTTACATTATCATCCCCTAGTAATGCCGGAATATTTGGATTTCCTTTAATGCAGGGTTTTTTGAAAAGGAACAGTGGCAAACTAAATCTGGTTTTCCCCTCTTCGATTATGCTCTAGTGTTAAGGCTACATTGAAGAGCCTGCTTTATTGGGCTGACAGCTTGAAGCCTCCCTAGTCTTTGCAATCAAGCCCACAAACAAAAGGTTCACTTTGCATTATTTAAGAACATTTGTGCCACATTCAGACTCTGTAAACCCAGAGTGATATTACAGCATTGTATATATGCTGTAAATCAAGTGGAACAATGAGGGAGAAGCACAATCACATGGGACAGCATGTTTAACCATATCAAAGACAAGCCATGAAGAACAATGCGCAGACATTCGGCATGAGAAAGAATCCCCAGCGTTTCATGTTATTTATTGTATTTATTTTTGAATTGGTGGTACTTTTATATTTTGATTATAATAATAAGAAAAAAGATAATGTGGTGAATGTAATGTTCATGTCACAAGGCTGTCAGTGGCACTAGCTACTGTAGATTCATGCATATTAAAAGGCCTATGCCACATCTCTGATTCACATGGTTCAGCTGGTCACAATAATTGACTGATGGGATGACTCTTCACACAAACCTTCAAATAGGGATGTTCTAGTCTTCAAACCTGTCCAATGGCCCAGCCGTTCATGATCCAACCAGAAGGTGACTTCACTTGTCCCCTTGAGACTTAACATTAGAAGATGGTAGATTAGTGAGAGCTGGTCTAAGGTACACACAACCTCAGTAGTGAAGGAAGACCTGCCTCACTATGGAAACCAGGATTGAAGGGTGACATGAGTTGAAATCCAGCAGATTCCTGCTCTTCATATTTTGTCCTCTGCCTCTTTGCTCCAATAACACTTAGTAAATCTGTTCTTGTTAAATATACTGGAAACATAGCAATGTAAAGTGATTTTCCCCCATTTTTACACAGTGGATTTAGAACACCACCACATGAGCCTCACTGCATTGCCCTACACCCCGTTCTTTATCATCTTTACGATACACCTTTAAGCTGCAACCAGATCTGAGCACCTCAAAAGTCACGTCTTCCTTGAAATTACACTGTTGTCCAGCTCAGGATGGGCAATTTCGAAACTGGATGATTAAGATTCCTCATTAAATTCGATTTTAATTAGCTAGTCCCAAGTAATCCTTGTGCAGAGCTAGGAGATCAATAATGCACACTTGACAAGTGACTAGTAATTCAAAAACTAAATATCTTAAATGACACATCAGAATGGCAAGATGAAAGTGTCATGTATGGGTCTGCACCTGGATTCTATCACTAGCCAACTACGACTATGATTCCCCACTCTGTGGAGCACAGCAGGCTGAGTGGAATAAGTCAATCAGGGCTCTCTGGGCACTTTGACAAGTCCATAACATCTCAGAGACTTGCATGTTCACACTGCAGTCAAGGCCTGCATCTCCCACAACCAGCGCTGACCACATAGCCAGGGCTGTGTTGCCTGTGACGTGTTTAAAGAAGACTACTACTGGCTCATAGGTAGGCAGGTCAGATAAGCCTGCCTGCATTTCCTCTTTCCCCCTGACTCAGGTTGCAGGGTTCATAGCTGTGAGGAGAGATCTGCATGGAAAACTGGCAACTCCAGATTGGGTGGATGTATCATTTATAAAAGAATTGCCAATTCTAAATTCTAAATATATTTTAGAATTTTTAACAGGATGGCTATTGTAAGATCTTTTGCAATGCAGGCCACAGAAGTACCATCTGAAAAAAGAGAATCCACATCTAACATCAGCTACAAATTCAAAGCGATCTGATACTTTATTCCTGGGCATCTCAACATAATCAGACCGGAGGACATCTGAAATGTCTGAGGGGTGGAAATTGTGGACTCTTTACCTGTTCTTCCGTCTCCAGTCAGTTTATTCATTAATGGTTATGACAAAGAAATAGTGTTATGCAAATCAGTTGGAATGGTTTAGACACTAGAATCAATGTTCTGGTTCAGAGCAGTTTCTCAAGGGATCACAATTAGCCTCTTACCCTGAGGGCCATGTTCAACATGCACATTTACATAGTGCAGTTTCATATACAAAGTGGACATGTGTAATGTATCACAAAGAAATGACAGTGCACTATTTGCAGACCACTAGAAATATCGTAGAGAACATTTTCATTTAAATGAAATACAACTGAGGGTATTTAAAATAGAACCGAGAGAACAGTTGCGAGGTAACTGTGACACAAGCATACTTTAAAACTGGCTGTTTCAAAAGGAAAGAAAAGGCATGTTCAGTCTGTCTGCAAGTACTTGCCCATTCTTGTATGTTCCCTGAAAAATAAAATCTGTCTTTGAGACCAATTTAAGTAGAGTGTAAATGTTTAATGATCAATACAATAAAACAAATC